ATTTTGATTAGTTTTTATTATTTTTATATGGATTATATAAATGTATTTTTTATGAAACCAAATAAATATATTATGTTATTAATGTTAACCTTTTGGACTTATGATACAGAAACTATACCTGTCATATAAATGCGCCTCTAAATTTTTCTTTTTATTTCTCATTGTATTTGTATGATTTTTTGTGGCATTATATACATCAAATTAATGACAACTAATTAACATATCTGATATCTCAATACCCGGCTTTTTAAATAAACTTTGAATTATAGACTGATCCTATGAGAATTTTTTCACTAGATAAATGAAAGCCCACATGTAAATATCCGAAACAAAAAAAAAAAAATAACCATTAATCGTAAGAAATGGCACTAAATAAATGTTAACAAGTATGATCGTATTTCTTTCCTGCCTTTACACATTACAAAGATCTGACGATTATTAAAAAATTGACAATGATTTTAATCGAGCCGATAGAATTACTATGTTTTAAAATAATTACAATATTAAAGTTCATTAAAGATTATTCACTAAACCTTATCTTAATTATAAAGATGTCAGAAAAGTTGTATAAATCTCAAGCTTTGAATCCTGTCGAACAAATAAATAACAAACAATAAACTAGCAATCAAAATATAAATTCTTTCTTTTCATTATTCAATATAGTCCTCTTTCCTGAAGCAGAGGATTGCCAACTTTAAACGTGACGCCGATGCCGATGCTTTTGGAAAATACTTATTTTTTTTTAAAGTAATTCATTATTTAATTCTTTAGTAGAGTAGTTATGTAATTTTTAATTTTAACAAATATACGTAGTCATGATTCTAATTTTTAGATAATGAATGTGTAACAACGGTCGGTTTAGTTTACTTTCAACGTTTTCCAAATAAAAAAAAATGTCTTTTAACTTTTTTGATAAATCATCCCATTGAAGTTAAGAATAAGAAATCTTTTACCGCCCATTCAAATGTGTTAAAGTTTCGTTCACCTTACTTTTGTAAAGAATTGAAAAATAATATCTCGGATGAAAACAATATTAAGAAAATCACTAAGCCAAATATTTCGGATGAAATTTTTGATATGATACCTAAGTAAGTTGTTATTACAGTGAGCTCTCCATAAATGTACCCTCCTGAGGACCAACATTAGCGTGCGAAGGGTTTACTGTATTCTTTTATGAAAATATTATTATTATTAATAATGACTTATATAAATTTATAATTAATGTTTATTTTTATAAGATATAATTATGGCGGAATTGTTAATTTCGAGAATGTTGTAACAAGATTTAGTTTTTGAACAGCTAATGAATATGAAATTGAAGAGTTGACCAAGAAATTGAAAAATTATCTTATTGAAACTAAAAGTTCTTGGTTAAAGTCTCAAAAATTTAGAAAAATTTTGCAATGACATTATTGCAAAATATCCAAATATCATTTTTGATTCTGAAGATTTCACTTCTGTTCAAGAATCTGTACTGGTATAACATATCACATCTCAAGCGAGATGATTTACAACTGGAAGAGAAGATAATTTGGGAATATATTATAAAGTGGGGGAATAGCTCAGAACTCCACTTTACGTGTGGACCTTAAAGAATGGACCAATGAAAACTTTACAACTTTAAAAACTACTCTTCAACAATACCAACCTCTAATTCGATATTTCCATATTTTTAGTACAGATATTTGGAAAAGAGTAAAGCTTTACAATAAAATTCTTGATAAACAGCTTTGGGAAGATTTGAAACAATATTTGATTCTTCCCGATGAACAATTTTTATTCAAGAATTGTCCACCCGTAAAATTGAACCAACGAAACCATTATTATTTATGAATATGTGGCTGAAATTTCCTCTTGGATTGATCATAATTCAAGTACGTATTCTTAAAAAAATACTCCATATGAGCTTCAATTAATTTTAAGGGGAAGTATTAATGGATTTGAAACTTTTTGGGATAACTGCCATGGTCATGCGAATATTGTAGTAATTATAGAAGTTAAAGGAATAACGGAGGATACAATCCTTTGGGATGTTAATACTGATGGCGGATGAAAAATACTAATGATAGCTGTATTTTCTCATTGAAAAATGGTAATATACAAAATTCAATTCTTAGCAGAGTAAAAAGTGACAAATTTAAGTAAAACTCATAATGGTCTTCATTTTGGGGATCTTTTTATGTATAGTTTTAGTTCTAATTTACAGTGTGTGTAATAATTACGGTAATTATGAAAAGCTCATTTAAACAACAAATAAATTCTCAATTGTTGATTATGAAGTATTTAAAGTTATTAAGAAAACTAGTTAGAATTTTAATCCTCAGATAATAATTAATGAAATTTATATAATTTCTTTATAATAAATAAATTATATATTTTATCAAATATAATTTATAAGTAATCATACTATAAAAAATTTATTTTTTTATTTTATATATCAGATGCTTGAGAAGTAAACCATTTTTAGTAAAATGTTTATATTTAAGAACATATTTCACTTTAAACATTCCATACAAAAATTCGAAACAATTTAATACTCTTGACGTTTTCCCACATTTTATGAATAAAATATCTTAAATTTTTTGAATGAAAATTATCCTTAAATAAAAAAAAAAACTTTTTTATTGCCAAATCTCGTGCTGTGTTGATCGTGTCTTTCAACTGAATACAAAAATAATAAAACCTTATTCTAAAAGTGACATATGGAGTGCTCCACTTCACAGAATTAAAAATATTGGTTCATGGCGTCCATATTAAATAAGTAATGTAAAACTAACTAAAAAAAATGCATTTAATCGAAATGGAAAATGTCTTTCTGAAAATTATACTTAAAATGGCATCGTGCTGAAGAGCGTAAACAACGTACTACAAGATCCGATAAGATAAAATATGGCTGTTGGTGTCCTGAATGCATAAAAAACGTTTAACTTGATTTTGCTAAAGGAATTACAAGAAAAAATAATGAGCTAATACCTCTCTAGTAAATAATTCACCTTTATCTTGGTCCCGTGCTAAATGGCATATATGGATTGAATCCGCTTATTAGTATAAAAAAATAATAATAATTGGTATCCATTCTGCTTGTGTAAAACGAATAACTTGCCAAGAAATTGTTAATTAATATTTAGAATTACCTTCAACAATCCTTAAGTCCAATTTCTTAAAACACACGAACATCCTAGAGAACTAGAATAGATATTTATTATCCTCAATATGATTTGGCTATTGAATTTCAAGGACCACAGCATGAAAATATATCGAATTCTTGATCCAAATAATTTTATCAACAGCAAGCACGAGAGATCAACTCAAGAAAAAAATATAAAGGATGATATTATGAAGTTCTAGAAACAGAATAGTAATTCCGAAGCATCTTTATAATTTGAGTCTATTGGTTAGATAAAAAATTCTGTGAATTCTATGAATTTTTTAAAAAAAAAAATTATTCGATTTGAGCTTGTACACGAAAATTCAGAATAAAAAAAAATCTACTAGCCTATAAATAGTTATGATATAATATTCTGTTCCTCTAATTCCTCTGCAGTTATTATTAAGATTTTCTATCCAATTTATCATTACATACTAAGGCTTACCATCGACTATTTTGTAGTCTCGTTACCTCAATAAATCTATAATTTGATTTATCAATCTTGACTTTTCTTACGTTCTGCCTAAGTTTTGGTAATATAATCATTTACGTTTGTTTTGTGCATAAAATTGAGATAAAGTTGAAAATTTCTCGTTATTTAAAATAAATTTAGTATTAGGAGGAATCATACCTAAAAATTTCTTTCATCAGGAGTATTATCCGCTTTCAATGTATTCCAAACTTTGGATGCTAATGATTCATTTTTATATCCTCTCCAAGCATTTAAGACGCGCACTATCATCACGAGACCTAGGTTCTTGATGCAGCATCACTGAGATCATGAATAACTTCTACATATCTTTCTTAGCGTGATGAAATATCTTTTTCAGCGGCTTCACGCAAATTCCCACGTTGGTTTTATGAAATTTTAGACCTGCAGTATTCATAATCTACCAACTTTCCATTTTCAAATGATGCATACAACGTACATAGTAGACATTTCTTGGAAAGGAACGAATATCCCATTAATGTGGAACTTCATCAGATCGAATAACTGATAAAATATCATATAATCCTTCAATTTCAAAGAGTCGTTCAAATCGTTCATCACTAAAGCCATAAACATTTCTATTATTAATTTAGATTTTTTATCAAAAGTAAATAGGGATATTGATACCTGGCATATATAACGATTTATAGAGTTATTGCGTTTTACAAGACTTACAGTGTATGTTAATGATTATAATGCTTATAGGTTTTAGCCCTTTATAACTAAAGAGTATCCGATTCATTTTTAGTGCGAATTCGTTATTATAAGCGTTTGAAAAAATATGTAAGAAATTCGATAAAAAAAATCATCAGATGAAATCTGAAATCTATGTAGTACGAGTCACTTGTGATACTTTATTTTCTTCATCTTGAACTCATCCTTATTGTAATAGGAAAAATGCTATACAGAAGGAAACCGTTGATCTTTATGTTTTAATATTATGAACTTCGGGTTATAAGGAAATGGAATTCCGAGATCGTCAAGATTTGCCTTTTTACACTTTGTCCCAAAAAATATAAAATTGATTCGGAGCTCATGATCGAATAGACTTGCTTTCGAAGAAAGAATCTGGCAATTAGTGAAGTAACATAATTGCTAATTGTGTAGTTTTTCGAATTTAACGAATAGAATAATATAAATGAGTCTCAGATCATAAGGTGAGTTAGCAATAATGTCAATAATGTTGCTCTTAGATATATATACACATATACGTTTTGAAAATGGTTTACATACCCACAATTTATTTTCGGATTTCAAAGCAACATTCAGCTCAATATGACTCTTTATATTTAGGAAAAATATATATTATTGATTGCTTTAGCTTAGACTTTCGATACCGATATTATAATAATAATAATAGTGATGCAAATATCATTTTTCGCAATTGTAGCTCACAAGGTCGAAGAGCTAGAAAAAGCAGTTAAATTTAGATTACGAGAAAGTCTTCCTACTTCTATCTACAAAAAATTCCCAAAGGTAAGAAAAACCTATGGATTGTAGTTATTTTCTTTGGGGAACTCGATGAAAATGGTTATCCACATTGTTGTTACTCATCACTAATTAGTTGATTTTTTATTATTATGGCATGTATTTCACAAAATTTATTTTTTGTATCATTCTTTACTATTGGTAAAGTTTTTTATGAAATAAAGCTAAGTCGTATAGACCAAAATTAAAGAGACATATACATTGGGATAAATTGTCAAGTGAAATTCTTTTAATGCTTTATTAAAAAATTATTAAAAATAAATCACGGTGAAATAAAAATGATATAAAGTATATAAAGTGCTCTTAAGTTTAGCCAAACTAATACAAAAGGCTTTGGCGAAATTTATCCAGAGCTGTAACGCCGCTTCTCTTCCTTCTGGTACTGCAAGATCCAGACCAGATTTCTAGCTATCCCCCCGCCATCTTTTGACCAAAACCGAGTGCTTTTGTAAACCAATATTCTGCAGTATCCTTATAAAAAGGTGAGATAACGCGAACGATAAATATACTGATCCTTAATTCGTGATTCATAAACGGAAAGAGATCTACATATAAGAACCACAATCTCGTTCCGGAATATAAAAGTCCTTTTCTCCATTAATATCATGAAAAGCAATGGTTCTGATTTAACCATATTTTTTAGTTTCAAAATGACAACATCAATAAAATAAATAAATATATATATATATATATAATTGGGAAAAGTTGCCTTATATAAATCCTTTTCCATCTCTGACAAATCACGAATTAAATCAGATGTGATGAATATTTTTCATATGAGCAGTCGAGAAGTTTTGCGTTTCTCAGTTAGTCATTGATCCAAATTTTTTGTAGAATTAGAAAGTCATTCAACAAAATATGGTAGATTGTCAATTATACAAACATATGATCAAATTGTACGCCAACCAACAACGAATTTCAGGTTTTTGATGATTTCTTATAATGAATAGATTAAATTTCGGTTCAAGTCTAACCCCCAAAGGTAATTCATTAAATACGAGATGCCTTTATCGGCAGTTTCATTTATGACAACGTTACGCAAGCATGCTTTTAACGTAACCATTCTTGTTTAATATTGAACCATTCTTGTTTAATATTGAACCTTTCTAGGCGAAGTGTGTAGTATGTCGCGTGAAGAATAAATTTTCGGAAGGTCGTAACTACAATAACACTCAATTTGCTAAGGGAAATGTCAACACGCTATTAACTTTAATATTGTGAATTACTTTGTCTTCGGACGATGGTCGAAAAATTACTCCTAATTATTCCAGATCTCTTCTCGTAAATAAATTTGCTCCACATTTTTCTTAAGTATGTTCTTGATCGACCATTTCTCGCGACCTTGAAAGGCCGTCGTTAAATAATGTCGCAGAAGTTTAGAAAAAATTTATTTGCGAAAATTACGACGAGAAAACCTCGTAATTGGACCGAGCAACGAAGAAATTTATTGGTTAAATTTAAAGGTTAAAAATATTCAAGAAAATTTATCATGAGTGTAATTTTTATTGAGGAAGGAACAAAAAAAACTCAAGTTTTATCAATAAATGTTTAGAGATTAAAAAAAAAATCTGATTTCATTTATTGGGAGGGAACAAAAAACCATAATATAATTCTCCTAATAATTTGTACTCTTCTCTAATATTTGAAAATAAATTTTCAAAAATTGGATTGGAATATAAAAAATATAAAACTAAAATGTAGTAAAAACAAATTTGATAATGCTTTTAATTCCCAATAATATAATTAAACTTTTATGAATAAATTAATTTCTAGTTAAATAAATTAAATAAAAAATAATTTTAATTAGTCAAAATTTTCTTGTTCTATATCATTACAATAAAATGAATCATAATTCATTATAAAATATTCATTAATTAAATATAACTGTCTTTTTAGGAAGAGATATTCTTCAAATACGTAAATATAACATAATAAACTGTTTAAATTGTTTAAATTGTTCGAATAACTGGTTTCCGACTCGGAAATTCTCTTGTCTATTCTAAGCAATCAAGTCAGTCGTCCCACCTCCAAAAACAAATACTGAATATTTTGATTTCACCTGTTTATCCGACTCTTATAATAAGTTCATTGACTCAATAACTAGTCAGGTTTATATAAAGATCGTTTCAGTGTAACTATAAAAAAAAAAGTGAAGACTAATGTTCTTGTTTAATTCAAGATATTCGTGTTGATTAAAATATTCTAGCTTCGTCAAGTTTAAAATTATATCAAGATAATCTAAAAAATTGGTCATTTACAAAAAAGTTCCTGTTTAAAAAAAAAAATGAAATTACCTGTTTTATATTTATCTTAAACTAAAAATATTTTTTGGCTTGGCCTATTTAGTAAACATAACCTCGACAAAAAAATTAGAAATTAAACTAAATTAATAAATTTTTTGGCTTAGATGGTGGATTACACATGTTACACAATATTAGAATTTTACTTTATTGCCACATGATTGAATAAAATTTAAGTCAATTCTTTTTTTTTTTGTTATAAAGTAAGTGTGAAAAAAAAAGAAAGTAGCATTTTCAACAAACAAAAATAGATAGTTGAAAAATATAAATTAATTATTTTTTTTTTAATTTTGTAATTTATAAGCTACTCTTCTTGTTTTCATTTTTTATATATTTAGTTTCTGAACTTTTAATTTAGAAGTAAAAAAATGTACTTATTTCCGTCACAAACATTTACCTTGGGTTATAGTAAAAATTCCATGATGGAATTATATGAAAGTGCCGATGAGTTTGTACAGAGTGATGACAATGGTTTCGTAGGTTCATCGTCTTCGTTTACAATTACAGAATCAACAGAATTAATAGAATTGAGTCCGAGCGTAATGAATCAGGTGAATGGGGAAGAAGATGAAGTGAATAATGATAATGAAAATAAACAAGAGGACGAGGAACGTTCTCAAGAACTCTCGCAAGAATTCCCGCAAGTCAATAATCATAATCATAATCATAATCATAATCATAATCATAATAATAATAATAATAATAATAATAATAAGGATAATAATAATAATAAAAATAAGGATAATAAGGATAATAAGGATAATAATAGCAACAACAATAATAAGGAAATAGGAACAATTATTAAATCACGTTCTAGATCGGTGAAAAAAGCAAGAAATAAGAAGGGAGCTGAGATTTCTAAATCAATCGAGCAACAATCTCATTCTGAAACATCTCAAACGCCGCGTCGAACCAATTCTGCAAATATGAAAATGACTGACAATAAGATTAAGAAAGAAACAACAATCGAATCGAGGAAGAAACCTAATAAAGGCGAATTTTTTGTAATATACAAATTTCTTAATTGTTCTTGATATAAGATTTATTACTGAATTGCTTATCTTTTTTATCTTTTATCAATTCTCTTTTTTATTTTATTTTATTTTTTTTCTTTCCTCTTCATTTCTTCTTTTCGTGTTATTTCTTCTTTTTGTGTTCTTCTTTCGTGTTCTTTTCCCGTTCTTTTCCTTTCTCTTCCTTTCTCTTCCTTTTCATTTTGCAGGAAATTATTTTCGGAAACTATATGAAAGACAAAGATGGTAATAAACGGGATCCGCGTCATGAAGGCTCTAATTTGTCTGAACCAGGTATTTAGATATTTTATATAAAGTTGTGAAACTTGAAATTATGAATTTAAATTAATTTGTTTGGATTTTAGGAACCCCAAAGAGTTTGCGTAGTATTTCAATCCAAACCATTCACACAAAACCACGTAACTATATTCATTTAAATTTATATATTAATAAAAATATTATTCAAAAAAAAATATATTAATTATTCTAATTTTTTTAAAAGCGCGTTCTTCTCGAAATCAACAAACATGTGTAAAGAAGCTCAATGAAGCTTCTGCCCAAACAGATGTAATTAAAAGTAGTAGTAGTAGTAGTAGTAGTAGTAGTATTATTAAGTCACAAATTGAATGCAGTAGCGTATTGGTACAACATAATGATGTATCAGTACAAACCGATAATATTCCTATTCTGAAAGAAATGAAAAAAACGCGTACGGTGGGCATTCAGGCAATGAAGAAAGTGTGTGACGTTGCTGTTCAAACGGAAAAAAATGATAATCAAACCTTTACTATTGATTCAAATCAATTAAAATCAGTTTTCACGGAACAACTTGGACCAGAACTGGCAATCCAATTGAAAAAAATTTTGAATTCACCTGAATTAAAGTCAATTCTTATGGAACAACTCGGTCCTCAATTGGCAACTCAATTAAAAAAAACTATTCATTCTGATGGAATTCTTCCCACTTCTACTTCGAACAAAAAATTTAAATTGGAAGATATCAAATCGGTAAATACTAAATCCGAAAATTCAAAAGCAGAAAATAGTAAATTAGAAAAAACCAAATCCAAAAATACAAAAAATGCTGCTACTTCAACAGAATCATCTGATGTGTTAAGTGATACAAGCCGCAAATTGACATCAATTAAAAACGGTACAATCAACAAATCAATACTAAATAAAAACGATACCAACAACATATCATCAGCACCAATTAAAAACGATGCAAGGAATTTATTATTTACAACACCAAGTAAATTTGATGCTGGAACATCAACATCGAGTAAAAATGATACGAGCAAGATATCACCATCAAATAAACCAATCCCCAAAGGTTTTAACGAAGATTGGCAAATATATTCTATTTCTAATGGTAAGGCATTATTAATTTTAGGTTTAAAGGTTTTGTTATGACATATTTATATTTTGTTTTATTTCGTTAATTAGGAGACGAAGATGCGTGGGGTACGGGATTATTAGAAAAATCCTCGAATATTGATTCTTCCCTTCCTAAAGAAAGGGATAAGTTTGATTCTAATATAAGTTTATTAAATGGGTCAAATGATTGGGATTCGGTTGATGATGACAATATCACGTGGTCATCTCAATCACCGACTAATCCAATTAATATCAATTCAACAACTAATAATTCCTCTGTGCAAAATTCCTGCCAAAAAGAATCCAATGCATCAAAATCAGATTATCGACAGACAACATCAAATTCATACGCAAGAGATATTTCGGAATCAAGGAATAATTCGAGATCAGGAAATATTCCACATTCAAGCGATATCTCGGAATCAAGAAATAATTCACAAGCAAGAGATACTTCACAATCACAAACACGAGATATTTCACAAATATCAGAACGGTCACAAACTAGAAGCATTTTTAATTCTTCAAAACCACCAGAATCCAATAATAATTCTAATAATTCCGAATCTTTCGTGATAAAAAGAAAATCGAAAGAAATACAGACTGATATGAACATAAGCCCCGACTTAATGAATGCATCTACACAAAGTTCAACAATATTGAAACCTTCCATAATGAATTCTAAGTGGGCTGACGAAAACCTCAATCAACAAACTTTTAATAATAATAATCAAAGTTCGAATAGGATAAACCAACACGGAAATAGAAATACAAATCACTTTAGAAGTGATGATTATAAGGAGAATTTACATTGTTCTGAATCTACACGTACCGAAAATATATCTTTTAACGGTCTTTTATCAAGCACCCATAACATTTCCCGGTATTTTTAATATATATATATTTCATTTTCATCGCCGTCATATAGATTAATTTTATACTGAAAATTTTTTATCATCACAAGAAATGTAACTGATCCCAATTCATCTAATCATAGAGAATACAATGAAAACCGATGGTATTGATAAGAATATTATAACTATAATCATTTAAAGATTTTATATTTTTTATATTCTAATCACTTTATTAATTAATTAATTAATGTTAAAATCTTTCTTATTCAATTAGCCAAAATTGTTATAAGACCGGTCATCATTATTCTAAATGTGCTCAACAAAAGGGAATGGGCCATTGGGAATCGAGGGAACGTGAAGAACGTGAAAAACAAAAAAAGGAACAAATGGAAAAAAGGTAGAAATTATGAAATTATTTACGAACAAAAATTCTTTTTATGGTTACTAATTTTATTGTTGTTATAGCCAAAAGTGCGAACCCATCAAATATCCTAAGAAGTTGTGTCCGTGTTAGTATTTATTTATTTGTAAAAAAAAATTTTATAATAAATAATATTCGTTATTGATTATTCATTTTATAATATTTGATAAATAGTCAGAGACTGTAGACCATCAGAAATATCACCAAAAGAGGCATGGGAAAAGCTTATTCAAGCAGATCAAGATGATTTTCGAAATTGTTTCGAAGAATATGCCAAAGCTTCACCAAACGAAACATTCCAATTGATAGAAGAAAAATTAAGAAAAATCAAGTCTAAGGCAAGAATTATGGCCGTAGAACGTGAGATTCCACAAAATAAATGTTTAGTAGATCTCCAAGGAAATGCTGGCAAAAAATACTACGCTCAAATACTTTTTCTTAATTCTCAGCGACCCGTTCCGGGAAATATTGCAGGTAGCGCAGAAGAAAATTTTACGTGGTTAGCTGATGCAGGATTTATGTGTGATGATCCGACACCTTTTTGTCCTGGTTGTAAAAGCAAGGGTCATTGGAAAGCTGATTGTCCTGATCCAAAACCTGAAGAACCTCATCAAAAAATGGGATGCAATTATTGCAAATCCCTTGAACACGATTCAAAGTATTGTGATTCCCGCGATCGTCTTTACAAGCCAAAATGTTATTCTTGTAATGAATCTGGGCACGTAACGAGATCTTGCAACCGTGAAAAAAACAAAAATCATCAAAATCATCAAATTAATAATCATTCACAAAATTATGACAGTCGGGATGGTCGAAATAACAGTAATAACGGCGGGATTTACAAAGTTGGAAATAATGGTGATTCAATTAAGCGAAGCGAGAGCAGAGATGCTTGGGCACCCGGTGGAAGTATTTATAAGTGATTAAAAAATGAACACTTTTTTTTTTGTATCAATTTTGTAAATGTTTTACTTTATGTAACAATTTAATAAAAAAAATTTAAGTTCGATTATGGATTCTTTATTTTTTTATAAAAATTTTATTATTAAACACTTTATGTTCATTAATTAATTTGTTCAAAATTAATCAGCAGAATTTTATGCCTTTTTTTTTGACAGTCAAGATTGTTATTTTTCCAAGGCTTGACATCATTCTTTAATATGGTCGATTATTCGTTTCCAATATTATTTTTGGATAAATATACATTAATATCAAAAATTCTTATAATTCAATTATTAGAAAATGCAATAAGTGCTCATCACATTTTAAGCTACCTTCATAAATTTAATAAATTGGCGTAATCCAGTGCTCAGTAGATTGGGGAAAAAACGATTGTGAAGCTATAAGAGAACGGAAGACTGGAGATGCTACATATTCCAAAAAGAAAATATTACATTTTATAATATTCTACCTAGAACTCGTGACCTCAAATCGATTGGACATGGTATAAACGTAGGTAAAGATAAAAAAAGTTTACGTAAACTAAAATTATTCACACATTATTAACTATTACCTCTATCTCTTTATACAAAATTCGTCAATCCGATGTTTTCAATATCAACAAATTTGTCATCAACATTAGATATTATTCTTAAGATTTGTGAGTATTTGAGTAAACGTAACGTTCATAGTTGCCAATTTTTATTTAAATTGGCATTTAAAACAAGTTGGAAGCAAGCAAATATTTCAATGGGTAAGCATCATTTTATTTTCAGCTGAACAATAAGTTATGTAAGTAAAGTTTAGTATATAATCACTATCTCGGAATTTTTTTCGATTAATTTATATAATTTTTTTTTTTTACGAATATATGTAGCTTGTAACATTTGGTTTTATCAGAACAACTCAACTTTACTCAGATACCCGCTTCGAAATCGATGTTATAATGAACAAAAATTGTTATTTACTACATTCATGATGAAATCACATCATTTCATTTCATTATGCATCGACGCAACAAAATGTAGCGGGGTCTCAGAGCAAATGTGAATAGGAAAAAAACAAAATGCACATTATTTACTTAGTTCGTCCTTTGGACTAAATTTAAAGACAATTGTGAACGGTTTAACTATTCACTTAGGAAACACCTTTGATAAATAAAAAAGGATGAATGTGACTTATAAAAGCGCTGGTTCCGAAACACAATACTCCTATTTCCAAAAAATAATATACATTCATCGAATGATTTTCGACGCGAAAAAAACAATTTGAAAAAGGCAAAGCTACTATTGATTCAGTAATATTTTTTATTACACCGGAAATCTTATTTAAATTCTTGTATGATATTTATTTAAAATTTAGCAATTCTATTTATTCCATTATAATACTGGTATTTTTTATTTTACAAAATGAAGAATAAATTGAAATGAAAATAAACGAACAAAAAATATTAAACGAAGAATTACATGCATTCAGAAGTTAATTGTTTAATAATGAACACATTGCAAATATAGATTTAAATTTGAAAGTACATATTTAAAACGCGAATACCAACATTGTTTACACAAATGTTTCGTTTTTAATCAGGAGATTCAACGATGGGTTTATAGTAGATGATGAAATAACGCCAAAAATGACACCCACGAAGAAGAATGATAATTGCAAATTAGCATGAATAATGTTAAAAAATATTGCCCTCAAAATTATTGTTTTAGAATATAAATTACCTAAATAAACAGTTTAGTCATATTATATATATATAACTTATTAAATTATACATTTTGTATTTATTTTGAGGTCGAAACATTATATTTCATTTTTTAATACTTTCATATTTAAGAATAAGTAATTGTTTCGAAAATGCTAGAATACGTACTCGTGGCACTATGAGCTTTTTTCATTTTCTTAATTTCGTGTTGTGTTCTTTTTCGTCTAATTTTTTTAATTATCATTTTATATAACTGATAATATAAAATAGGTTACAAATTTAAATTAAAATGTAACCGATAACCACTAGAAGTCGGCCCCAATATCACGACTGTGGCCCTTTTCTCGCTAAATAATAAGGTAAAAAAAATTTTTTTTCGAGACTTTAAAAATGAACTTAAATATGTAAAATTGATCGTAATTTATCGTTCATTCTGAAATTTCTGGATTCTAATCTTCACTCTATTCTATGCTACTTTATAACAAAAAAAAATGTGGTCGAATTTATAAATTTTATAAATTATAAATTTATAAATTTTTCAAGTTATACAGGATAATTTATTTTGTAATACGGTACTGTACACGAACTTGAACAGGTATAAGTTGGCGTAATTCATTTACCAAATTCTATATCCATAGAAATTTATGATTATTAACCATGTTCCAAGAAAAAAGAAACGAATACGTATGAAGCTACAGGAGAATGGGAAACCCGGATGGACAATTTGATTATTGAAGATACTTTTCAAAAAGAAAATATCCCATTTTATCAATATTCTGAATTTGAGAATGTGAAGTTGCTTAATAGAAATGTTTTTAAAGCCACTTTTAAAATTTCTCAAAAAACTGTTGCTCTTAAAATTATTATTTTAAATAATACACTGATAAATGATGTGAGTTCAATTAAATTATTTATTTTATTATATCAAATTTGCTATTAATATTTTCTAATTGAATAAGATTAAAGGCATCGAAAATTGGAAATTCATGATAGTATTCTTAAATTCTATGGTATCACTAAGAAAGGTAAATATATAAAATATTTAAAATATACTTAAATAAATTAAATAAATTAAATAAATAAATAAATTAAATAATTAATTATTTATTCTTATTATTATCGTAGAGAATACCACCAATAATTATATGATTATCCTTGAGTATGCTAATGAAGGTTCCCTTTATCAATATTTAAAAACAAATTTTCAAAATTTGGATTGGAAAGCAAAATTAAATCTTGCAAAACAAATTGCAGATATTTTAAAGTATTTACATTCCGATGATATAATGCATGGAAAATTGGTAATTACTTTCTTTAAATATTTGATTTAATTTTTTACAAATGATTTATTTCTAATTTAATTATTATTATTATTTTAATTATTATTATTATTATTAAATAATGATTTAATTAGAATTCTGAAAATATTCTTGTTCATAATAGGAACATTAAACTAAATGACTTTGGGATCGCTAAATGTATGCCTGAATCTTTAAGATTCCTTACAAATATTCACGGTCCAATTCAATATATAGATCCTCAATATTTGGAAATATTCAACTCAATTGATAAAAATAAGAGTTCTGATATTTTCAGTCTGGAAATTATTCTCTGGGAAATTTCGAGTGGCAACCTTCCTTTTGGAATGGAATCTTCATTAAACGTTGATTTATTAAATGATATTGTAAAAGGAAAAAGGGAAATGACTATACCTGGAACACCTAGTAAATATAAGGAAATTTACACTGGTATAAAAAACTTAGGATAATTTATTTATCTTTATCTTTTATACCGTTTACATGATAAATTATTAATATAATAATAAAATAATTTTGACAGATTGCTGGAAGCACGATAGAAATTCACGACCAGGTATTTCTCAAGTGGTGAAAACCCTTTCTGAAATCATTATCTCTGATGCAAACTTTGAAAATAAAACTCCTCGGTCACAAGTTTACAATGCCACTGATGAAATTATTTATGTTAAATCAGAAAAATCTAATATTGTTAGTTTTTTTTTTTTTTGATTTTGAAACTTTTAAATCTAAAACATTTATTAATTATAAATTTCTTCATTAAGGCATAATGAAAAACTCGAAATTAAACCCGTTCCACCTTTTGTTGATTCAGTTGAAGATGATACATTTATTGAAAATTTATTTGAATTTTTCATTGATTTATACAAAAAACAGAGTACGAAAATGCAACCAATTATGATCAAAGATTATATTAGAAAACACAAAAAGAATTCAGTTGAAATTCTATACGAAATGATTAGTCATCCATCTCATCACTTCTTTACTAGTCTAATAGGATTTTTTTTATCTCTATGGCATTGCTGATAACCAATTGGCATTTAAATTTTTTAATTTAGCTTCCAATAAAATAATTCATAAAAAGAATACCTCCTTTAACCTCTCGTTCAAGAAATCTTACGACAACAACAAAGAAATTGGATTCATTTATCTCACGGATATGCATTTAAATGGTCTAGGTATCAAAAAGAATACGAAAAAAGCTTTTCATATTTATTCTATTATTGCTAATGAAGAGTCCTTTATAGCTTTAACTTTCAATGCAAATTGTTATAGATATGGATTTGGTGTTGAAAAAGCTGGAAAAAAAGCATTTGAATTATTTTTGAAATCCGCCGATGAAGGACATCATCTGGTAGCACAACATTCTGTTGGTGTATGTCATATAAATGGAATAGGGACAACAAAAGATGCAGTTAAAGGATTTCGATGGCTTATGAAATCTGCACTTGCAGGAAATATTGGTGCAATTTCTATAATTGGATATTGTTATAATAATGGTATAGGTGTTGGTAAAGATTAAAAAGAAGCTTTAAATGGTATTTGAAGGCCGCAGAAAAAGGAGATTCTGTAGTGCAACATAGTTTGGGAAATTATTACGCGAATGTGGATCAAGTGAAAGCATTTGAATGGTTTATAAAAGCGGCAGAAAATGATTACAGCAATAGCCAATACATTGTTGGAAAATGCTTTTACGAAGGATGCGGAACTGAGAAAGATGCTGTAAAAGTTATATATTGGTTAAATAAAGCAAAGGAAAATGGAAATTCAAGTGCCAATGAATTATTAGAAGAGATAATCAATAAAATTTTTTAATAGTTAACTGTAAAAAACAAAATATTTATTTTTTTTTTAATTTTAAATTTAATTTCATCGAATCCTTTAATTACTCTATAATATTAATAGTAATTGTTATAAGTTATAAGTTTATCTATCATTTCGCTAGAAGTTCGCATAAATAATTTATTTTTTTAAAATAATTACCAATCAATTTTTCATAAATAATATTATTAGAATATTAATTCATCCAATACATTAACATTTTGTTTTTGCAAGATTAAACTTTACATTCTAATCCATTTTTTGGAAATTTGTTTTCAAATATTGATGAAGAGAACCATTATTAGCATATTCAAGGATAATCATATAATTATTGGTATTCTCTAAGTAAATAAAAATAATTAAAAAAACAAAAAACAAAAACAAATAATAATTATTAATGTTTGTTATCTGTAAAATTAAATATCTATATTTTTAACTCGCTTACTAATTCAATATAATAACCTGATAATGCTTTCTATTTATTAATTTCAATTTTCGATATCTTTTGATCATATTCAATTATCAAAAATTGCAAAAAAAAATTAATAGCAAATTCAAATAATAGAAGAAATAATTCATTTAATTTTACTAAATTTCACATTTTAAATTATAAATGAGATAATTAAAATTATCCATCAAAGACTCTCATTCTTTTCTAATTTATCACATTAGGTTTGTTAATGGTTTGATACAATATTTGACCTTTGACAATTAGGTTTTTATTATATGAAAATCTCGAGAATGCTGGTAAATATAGACGACAATAGCAATCCTATAAATAATGATTATAGGATCGATACATGCATTGACCTAATCTGAAATTAATAACAAAGTGTTTCATATTCAGTTTTTTCAAAATTCAAATTCCAGAATAAAATTTGAATTCAGATGTAATTACTGCAAATATATATATATTTTTCATACATATAAAATTTAACGATTCAATTTTTATTAAAAATTAATATTTATTTGTTCTATATTTACATTTTCCTGTATTGCATATACTATAATATATTATAATATTGATATTGTATAATATACATATATATTTTAGCAGTATAGTAGACTTGTATGTTCAAGTATTTTAATAAATTGCTTCAACTCGACGAATATCGATGTTAGAAAGATGACGTTAGAAGGCCTGAAATAAGAGCTTTCGAATGGTAACGGAGATACCTTAGTAGAAAATCGATCTATAGCAATGTATAGGCTTTTGAGCTTGCAGATTTCTCAGATCTGAGCTGATCTTGCGAGCCTGAAATTAAGCCTGGCCTGCAAGCCTTAGGGCTGTGAGAAGTTTTATTCAGTTCCTCAGCCCGTCCACTTATGTCCTGATAAAACTATAACAGTAAAAGCATAAGGAATCGGTCTCATAGTGCTTGTTCATAATATGTTTTTCACCTGCTTAATTTACAGGATCTATTCTCTATTTAACAAAAATGCGTAGTTGCACTTTCTTGAATTTTTTTTTCTGGAAAATCGCATTCTTTTCATTTGTTTCACTAACGACGGCATCCATAGTGGACGAATCTTTTTCACCTTATCAAGATGTGTATGATGCAATTCTTACCACATTGTTTCTGATCACTTTTGTGATTTTGTTCAGTATCTCTAATAAGAAAAATGGAAAAAAAATCAACACGCAGCCTACAGTTGAACCCGAGATTACGCAACTTATAGTTAAACCTGAGGTTACGCAACCTACAGTTACAGTTGAACCTGAGACTACACGATCTTTACTCACGAAAAATAATCTGTTGCCATTACTGGATGACACATTGTACAACACAGTCACTTGGGGGATTCCATTGACAGTTTCTTTTGCCTATAGTGATTTGCTGAATGTAAAGCTATTTTCGATTGTAAACATGTGTTTACATGTATCTTGTGCAATAATCACATTAGCTCAAAACAAGCGCATTTCAGATGGCATTTACGATGATATTACAGAAGATATTTTCACAACAATTGTTTTTTTACTGATTTTTTTCCCAGTTATGATTATTCCAATATACTGGATCGTTTATATTACAATTTTCCATTTTTTTGATTCAATTAGTATAATATTCCTTACATTATTTGGAATATTTCTGGTTTTATCATTACTCAGTCTCATAATACAAATCTGTCAATTATCGAAATTTTATTCGACCGCGTCGATCGTTTTTGCACTCTGTTTTTATGCTTCAAATATTCTGCAAACATTATTGATAGTATTAAAATGGCCAATCAATTTTTATTTTGTAAAAGCATGTATATTTATACTGGTTTTGTCTTTAACAAGGAGCGTATCTTATTTTACTGATAATTTGCCTGACAATTTTCAAAATTTTCTTGATGACATTCTTATTACTTCAATAACATTAACTCAATATGCACTGCAGAATTCTGTGAAATCTCAAAACCCGGTGGACTGATTTCTCTCACTTCAATATATCACCTGCTTATTTGAACTTTTTTTTAATCTTTAAACTTTTGACAAATTATTGTTAAATTTTTAAAATGACATCAATCAGGGATTCTAGAATTGACAAAATACAACACAGCAAAAATTTTCAATATGAAATCAAAAGTTTCGGTTCACCATTTGTAAAATTCAGAAAAATATATTATAAAAACTGATTAAAGGAAGGAAATGGAAATTCAAATTTCAATAAATAATTAAGAAGAGATAATCAATAAATATTTTTAAAGCTAAATTAATTTTATCGATTAAATATATTATTGAATACATTATAATATAAGATATGCAAACAATTTGAATGTGAAAAGTTTATCTATCATTTTGCTAGAAGTTCGCATAAATAATTTATTTTTTCTTAATTAAATAATTACCAATTAATATTATAGAATATTAATTCATCCAAAACATTAGCATTTTGTTTTGTAAGATTAAATTTTACATTTTTTTGGAAATTTGTTTTCAAATATTGAAGAAGAGAAACCATTAAAGGATAATCGCATAATTATTGATATTCTCTAAATAAATAAATATTAAAAAAATCTATTATCAATGCTTTATAAATTAAAAAATTTTCCTTGCTTACTAATGCAATATAATAACGTTTTAATTTTCGATGTCTTTTGACCTTATTCATAGCAAAAAATTCAAACTTATTACTAAGTTTTCCAATGATCAATTGACCTTTGACGATTGGATTTATTATATAAATGATAATTATTAAAATCCCTCCGAGAATGCTTGTCAGAGAGATAAAGGATTATACATACTAAATTTTTATAGATAAATAGAAAGGAGATTTTTTTCAAAACTCAAATTCTAGAATAAAATTTGAATTCAGATGTCTATATTTTATACATTTAAAAATTCAATCAATTCAATTTTTACAATCATGAAATGAATAAAATATATCGATCATGTGATTATGATTGCAACGTCTATTGGGATTCGTAGTAGATCTATTATATAATGTGCAACAAGTCATGTTATGCAGCTACGTTCCGTGGAAAAGATAATTCAGATTTAAAAAATAATAGTCATTACTTTTTAAACCCACATTACACAAAAATTCATATGCTGTGTGTTCACTAGTTAATTAAATATTGTCGCGTTCTGCGCAGAACAAGTGGAAAGTTAAGCCAATCAGTCTCAATAAATTTAGGTCAATCACACGATAATTCAATGTATTACTAACACACTATCTCTTGTACACAATATCACAGCAAGACAGGCAATCAGTCGATCTAAACCTGCTTACTAACACTCAAACAATGCAATTACGTGTAATATCTGAGGGTACGATGAGCAAGTGGAGTAAAAGTATCTTTACTATATGCTTCGTACACTGCCAAAAATTTAACAGACTTTTGGGGTAACTTGCCGAGAAATATAGAAAAGTTTATTAAAATATTTATCAAAAATTTATTAAAAGAATAGGTCAATAGAGATATATTACTGCGTTGGCGTATCTTATCCCTATTGCTATTCCGATACACGAAACTATTATTAAAATTAAAAACTATTACAAAAATTATTTATTATTTTTAAGATTATTTCGAAACTATTATATTTGCTGTTACTAAAATTATTGGAAAATTATTAAAAAGAAGAAAAAAAAATAATATAATTATGAAAAATTCGGATTGTTACGAAATTATTTGTTATGATAAAACTATTAAGAAATTCGTTATTAAGGTAAGAAAGTTATATGATTTTAAAGTTTTTCGCGAGAAGAGGAATCTCTTTCTCCTCCCTTTTTCCACTGGTTATTTTATACCTTCCAATTTATTCTCTTTTTCCTTTTGTTTTCGCGTTTAAACAAGTTTTCTCCTTTTCCCCGAGGATGACACACGAGGATGAAAGATGCTGTGCAAGGATGAGAAATCTGTCATCTAGATGGTAGCACACTCATCCTCAGGTAACACTGTCATCTTGCTACCATCTCTCGTGACATTCGTAACCTTCCGTACAGCGTTCCCCGTGGCATTCGTACCACCTCAATATACTGTAATTATGAATGTTCGGTCTAAGTAATTTATTTTTCAATTTGTACATCCATCTCGCCATTTTCGGAGTTTCAATAACGGCTAAGGAATCTTTATTTAACAAAAAATGCTTAATTCCACTTTCTTGAATTTTATTTTCTGGAAAATCTCATTCTTTTCACTTGTTCCACTAGTGACAACACCCATAGTGGACGAAACTTTTTCATCTCATCAAGATGTATATAATGCAATCCTTAATACATTGTTTCCGATCACTTTATTAATTTTGTTCAATATCTCGAACAAGAAAAATAAAAATATAATTGACACGCAACCTACAAGTTGAACCTGAGACTACGCAATCTTGGCTCACGAAAAATAATCTGTTACCATTACTGGATGACATATTATACAACACAGTTACTTGGGTGATTCCAATGACAGTTGCTTTTGCCTATGATGATTTGTTGAGTATAAAGATATTACATGTGTTTGCATGTATCTTATGCAGTAATCGCATTAACTCAAACAAGAGCCTTTCAGATAAAGATTATTCTTCAATTATATTCAATTGTATCCATTTTTTTCTGACTTTTTTCCCAGTTATAGTTATTCCAGTATACTGGATCGTTTTTATTACAATTGGTCATTTGTTTGATTCAATTAATATAGTATTCCTTACATTATTTGGAACATTGTTAGTTTATTGGTCATTTTTCAATCAAAGCTAGTTTTTTTACCCAATGATTTTCTTCTTTATAATTTTTTATGCTCCTAATATTCTGCAAACATTATTGATAATATTAAAATGGCCAATCAATTTTTTTTTGTCAAAGCTTATGTGTTTATATTGGCTTTATCTTTAACAAGAGGGGTGTCTTATTTTACTGATAAAGTACCTAATAGCTTTCTGGCTTCTTCAACAACATTAACTTAATATTTTCTGCAACAATTGATAAAATATTTTAGTCATTAAATATACTCAATGGACTAATTTCTCTCTCACTTCGATTGTATCACCTGTTTATGGATAAGTTTACACTATCCAGACCATGTGAAACTGTTCTCTTTGTAATAATAAAGTGTTAATGGTCTGAAGAAATGTCCTTGTCATTTCTGAAACTGCAAGAGCAAATACAACGATATGAATTTATGTGGAAGTTTCAGGTACTCCATTTGTAAAATTCTGAAAAAGATATTATAAAAACTGGTTAAAAAAGCAAATGTCAATAAATTATTAGAAGAGACAATCAATTACTAGAAATTATTTTTTGCAAATTTATTGTTGATCATTTTATCTTTGATATTAAAAAAATCCGAAAATAATTATCAAATGTCACTACATATCAAAGTTCATTATTTATTAATAAAAAACAAATACGTTGCTATTTAATCTTATAGCCATAAATCTGAAGCATCATTTGTAAAGTTTTAGCATTTACTTGCGAATTAAATTTAATATTAACGGCCGTACGCCGGACGTTCGAAAATTATTCTCTAGAATTTAATCGCTAATTATTCGCATAATTTTAATTAAATATATCTGAATACTTTACATAAGATGCTATATTCTCAGCTTTAATGTTACTTAGTATCATTTTCATTACTATTTTAATAAATAAAAATTTTTTTATGTAGAAATGATTGATAAATATTTTCGGATTTTTTTTAATAAATTTCGGCCGTTTTTATTCACGTCTAAGTCAAAATTTTCACTAGACACTACGAAAAGTCGTTTTAATTAAAGTTGTAGATATTATTTCTGGATACAATTTCTTGCAAGATAGTTGTTATCTATCTTTAATTATCCATCGAGTCCGGTATGGATAACGTTCAAAGGTATCTAAAATGGCTCGAGTGTTTGATAATACAGATGCATTACGTGGAGCTAAAAAATCGGGATTGAAAACAGATCGGGCAAAACTTGGTTTACTGAATTCAGCACTACATGCAACATATGGGTTGAAATTTAAGGTAATAGACAAGCATAGTAGATATTACCATCTAGTTGGTTCATTCGATAATAAAGACGCTCCTGATTTGCCCCATACCAAACAGGAAAAGAAATTTATTGGGAAAATGGAAAAGATACTCGGCCATATGATAAGATATTATTATTGTAAATATACCACACTTCAACCCAATCATGCATATTCTGAGATGGGGGTTTCTTCCAATATTTTATATAATATTTCCGAAGTTACCCCATATCAAATATACTACTATTTGGCTTTGATGATATAAATAAAATAATGTTTTTTGCTCACTTCTCGACAGACATTTTATAGGTCTTTGCGGGTTGAAGAGCCTCGACCCCATACTTTTGCCTCATTCGATAAATGAGCGAATTAAATTTGGCAGAATGTTTAGGACAACATCCCGTAATAGAAACTGTAGGTATACCACAACCACTAACAAGGCAGGGTCTTTTTCCATATTTTTTTCATGCAATGCCCAGTGTTTTGTACAGCCAGTGGTGCGGGTACAAACTTTCCCGCAAATGGAACCGTCTCTCTTGATATGTTGACAAGTAACACGATCCATGCAAGTATTTTAGGATATAAAACTCTCTTTCACTTTTGATTTTATAATAAAAGGTGTATTAAATTATTCGGCATTAAGATATGACATAAATTTCTTTTCATACTAACGCTATGGACACGAAAAAAACAGTACTTAATTTACTAACCGGCCGATGGATCGATCCAAACGGAAAGTTACTCCAGAAGTTGATTCGTGAAGGCTATAAATATGCTGATAAACTTTCAGATTATTTAGAAGATATTGAAACTATGTACATCGGTGAATTCGCATTAGACCCCTTAGCCGACTTCTACTATCCAGCTCTAATTCCACCTTTATCTATCCTAGCTAGTAGATCGGATATTCGTAAAAAGTTTCCTATTAGTGTAGAATCTGCTGTCGTGAGATTATTTACCCTTGAAAAAAAAATAAACGATCCTCCAATACAATCAAATTATTCTAGTGATAACTTGTCTGCATTAATAGGAATAACTTGGGAGCGTGGAGAGACGAAAGCTTGGAGGAATAACGTACTCATGAAATTCCTCCATCACCCGAATTTAGCTCCTTCAGAACATAGACCGGGTGCTTTATGATGCATTCACCAAAACAAATGTTTTAGGACCAGAGCATATATTAGCTCTAACACGAACGTTTTACTAAATATTACTATAACATCTCGGTCTTAGACCATTCATTGCCATGGCATGGCGGTTCCAATGACTATGTATTTTTTTTCGCTTATCCTATCTACTCGCAAATTTCAAATTGATGTAAACTATTTCCGGCCAAAGTGGGTGGTCTCAAAGAGACCTCGTATAAGTTATATCATTATTTTTTCGCTTCCTTAACATTTATCCTTTCCGAAGAAGCATAGCTCTGAGGAAATTTTTCGAATTGAACTTTTTCAGATGTAATATAACCTAACGGTTTTTGACATAATCTAAGAGTTATTCTATAATCTAGTATTCACATTATCATGTCCGCAGTTGTACAAAGTACGTTAAAGACCACAAACTCATTCCAAAGATGAGTAATGAAAGAACTTAGTCAGCACGCCCCAGAGTTACTCAAGCTTTTGACGGATACAGTGAAAAGAGACAAGGGTCGTCGGCGTCTTCGAGAAGGGTATGAATTTAGCAAAGAGCAGACGTTAGTATTAGTCCCCTCTCAAAGAACTGGACGAGTGAAAAGTCAAGCAACTTCTCAAGAAGAGGAACTGGAAGCGGGAGCAGAAGTGAATATATGCCAAGTATCCAATCTAATCTCGCAGGAAGAGAGTATTGGAAAATTGGCTGAGCGTATTGTACAGGAGAATATTGGTGAAAAAGAAGTGGAAGTAATACGTAGAACCTTAGTTTAAACAGCTACTGATACTGTCGCTGGTTCATCACGTATATCCAGGCTTCGAAGTGAATTGCGAGATCTCAATGCCCCAGAAAAAATAATCTCATCCGCATTTAGACAGAGAAACAGCCTGCGCATCAAACAAAATTCAAAAGGTGCGTCGCCAACTGCGTAAGAATGAAAGTATTCATTTTCCAGACGAATTTTCATTTGAATCAGTTAAGGAGATATTAGGTGACTATGATGTTTCTATAAACCTGATGAAATAGTCCTAGCTGATATAGTGATAATGCTTTGTATACGTCCTGTTGAACTTAGAACCTTACACATAGCTAACGGTGGAGTAACTGGCTACGTAAAAAACCGAGGCCAGGAAGATATTCCTCGAGTGTTTAAATCAATGGAAAAAGATGAATAACGGCTAGACAACTATTTACGTGGATTCAGAATTCTATCGCTTCTGGAGAGTTAAGAGATCCTGATAAACCCGGGGCTAAATGGTTTAATAGATTCCTAAAAAAATATGATGTACCACTGCTTCCTCGATACTTACGCAAATTAGGGTGCGTATTTGCAGTCTTATCACACAGAGCGAAGAATTTATCGAATGCTATGGATATTGTTAATGGAGGACCCTTATCCTATACCCTGGTATAGAATTTCATAGGGGTACAGACTCTTATCCTATATCTCCTCCTAATTTGATTGGTCCATAATTTAACAGGTGATTATAAGGACAAGTGTTTAATTCATGTGACAGATTTTAGGTGACAAATGTTGGGTGACAAATGTGGTTTCCACAATTCTAAGTCCTAGAAAATCGATGTTCGAAGTGCGTGATACAAGGTGATAAATAATCTACCCCTGATAAACCTAACCTAACCCATGCGTTAAGGTAGTTGCACAATAATTGACACGGGAAGAATAGGATAAGAATCTATACCTCCTGAAATAGGTTAGGATTTCCGTTGTTAGTGAAGCATTAAGACACAGTCCCGACAACCGTGCTTCTCCTGGAGAAAACTATAGTATAGTCAATTTAAGAAGGCGGGGAAAACCATATGATCAGGCAAGGCCATTTATAGTCTTCAATGAAGACTAATCACAGATGGATTAGAGGGTCCCATCGATAAAAGATCTTCGGGTGTCGCTTTCGATTTATTTCTCTATAATTTACATGTAAGAATTTCCTATACAGTGTTTCCTTTCACCGATCATGAACGTAGTGAATTATCAGAAATTTTATTTTTCGTTCAAAGCAAGATATAGCATATATAAAATATCAAGAAAATGACAACAGATCAAAAGCATTCATTTAGTGACAAGCACCAGCGAGCAGAAAGTTATCAGATATGCAGAGAAATTAGCCCGAATATTTGGACTAGATAAGCAAAATGCAGAAGTATATAGTACGCTTTCTAGAGAAATCAGAGCGCTAGCGAAAAAGCTGAATGATTATCATTTCGAGTATATCAGCTTAAAAAAGACGGAAAAAAGATTGGAGAGAGATGTAGAGTCCCTAGAGACTGAATTAGAAGATTTAGATGACTGTGCGAATAAGGACACTGTGGTCGACTTAATACATGAAATAGTTCCCTTACTGATTAGTGAAAAAGGTAAGGGTTATTCCGATTTATCCGAAGAATCCGATTTGGATGAGACATTTGTGGTAAGAGAACGAAAGGCTGTTCCTTATAAGCAACGAAGGAAGGTGCGACCAAAGAAGGGGACCCAAAGGGACAAAGTTAAGATCAAGAAAGGTTCTAGTTTGGGATGGTGACCATCCGACTTTTGGATATCTAACTAACCAAAAGTTGACTAGTTCTAGTACGATTATGCTAAGCGATGTAGTACAAGCCTTTCACGAATGATTGGTCAAAATAGGCTCATGTTAAAGAAAACTTTGTTTTATCATAAGTAATTAGTAATTTCGCAATGAATTGTATAATTGCTCTATTTTTTTAAAAATTAGAATTGGTTATCTTTTCACTTTTTCACCCACTTTTGGAACTTTTAGGAAGATATATATAATATACTAACGAAATAAAATTAAAAAAAAAAGATGGTCATTTTTTAATTATCCCCTTTTTCGGTTTAAAAATATATACAGTGAATGATTATTAGTAATTTTATATCTTTTATTTTTTTTTTCAAAAAAAAAAAAAAAAAAAAAAAAAAAAAAAAAGGAATATTGTCGCATTTCTCTCGTTCATATTTTAATTTCTCTAATACGGTAAAATTATCATTAATTATACAAAATGAGTAATAATTTTGAAAATTTGTTTCACGTAATAATTGGTTAAAACAAACCTCAATCTCAATCAAAATTTGATGAGTTTAAATTACAATAAAAGATAGTTAATCAAAAAAGTGAATTGTACTATAAGTTTGTAAATTTTATTGAATGAATATATTGAATAAATAATTTTAAATTTTTTGATCATTTTCATAATCTTTCCTTAATCTCTTAGAAAAAAAATTCATATAAATTTTTAAAATTTAAGTGTTTTCATTTTTACTTCGGGAAGAAGATCGTTTTCAAATGTAACACAATCTATACTTTGGTTCTTTTAAGGTTTTTTATATTTTTCTTTATGTATTGTATGTACCCTTTTTTTTAGAAGGGTAGATCATTCGTAATTTTGAGGTCATATTGAGTGGTTTGGTATTCTGTATGTTGAATAAAAACATTATAAGAAAGGTTATTTCGTAAGTAAAGAGAATGTGAGATATTATGAAACTAATGGAACTTCCGTGTCATAAGATATATTGCAGTGAAAATAAAAAAGTGATTGATTGTTATGCTATACAGTGGAAAATGTGGCATTCAATTTGATTATTATATTAATCCAACAAATTAAAATAAGAAATCAACTTACGAGGATCTTGATTCGTAAGAGAAACCGTTGGGAGGCGACAACTAGTTAAAGGACGTGTACTCAACTCTCGAAATGTTATGGTGGGACGTGAACTTCTTTGTCTTTTAAGATCGGATGATAAAAATTGATCCCTTATACTTTTCTCTTCCTCATTTAATTCATCCTTTGAAAGAATTTGGGTCCATTCCTTAAAAATTTCGGCCATCTCTTGAGCGGTAGGACGCTTGAACGGGTCAGGATCCCAACATTTCTTCATCAATTCAACATAACATGCCGGGGTCCCTTTAATCACTTGTGGCCTTTTTCCATCACAAATACTTAGAGCCAAAAAAGAATCGTACGCCGTTTCATAAAAAGGAGGTTGAGATGAGGTTAACTCCCACATGATGATACCAAAACTGTAAATGTCTGAGGCTTTTGTGTGAGGCTGACGACGAAGGATTTCTGGCGCAACGTACGGTAAGACACCTTTGATCTCTCCAGTTATATTTTGACCATCTTTACAAGCTAACCCAAGATCGGCGACAAAGTTACGCCTATTATCACCAAAAAGCACATTTCCACTGTGTAAGTCTCGGTGTACGAGGCCTAACCGATGTAGACTACGAAGGTCTATCGTAAGACTCCAAATTCTGTCGAGAAGATCCTTCCAACTATTTGTGGCAAAGTTAGATAGGTAATTTCTTAAATCGCCAAATTCGACAAATCGTATAACCATTAGATATTTTTTTGTGTCAGAATGTCGTGTTACGCCATAACAATCTAATGAACCCAAGTTAATTTTCCTACATTGATGCATAGATTTGATCTAATTAAAAAATGTAAAAAAAAACAAACACGATATTAAAAGAAATGATTAATGGTTAAAGTAACAATTGAACAGAACTTACAATACTTTACCTCTTCAAGAAACTCTTTAATACCTTCTTCTCCTTTCTCTACACTTTTCAAGGCAACCCACATGGATTCGCCTCGTTTCCACTTATTCGCAATGGAATCCCACTTATATATACATCCTTCTTTCCACTTGGCCTTAAAAACAGTACCAAATCCACCTTTACCAATCAACTTAAATTCCGTAAGCTGAGTTTCCGGGATCCATTCCAAGGCTTGGTCAGAAAATTCAGCGGTTATTTGTGTTTCTAAAATAAAATCATCAATTTCCGAGTTTCCACTTGTCCATTTATGACGTTCGGATTCAAAATGTTTGGGATTGCAACCACGACACCAACGGAGGGACATCCAGTCTTTATGACAATCGGGGCAACGATCTATTAATCTTTCAATTACGGCATAATCATTTGTTACAGGATTACGCGTCATTCCATAAACTAGACGTTTTGAGGGATTAGATTTCGAAGCTTCATATTCCTAAATTAAAGTAAAAATGAATGATAATTAGTGACACCCATTCATAGATATTAGTTCAAAAAAAAAAAAAAAAAAAAAAAGAAAATACCGATTTAAGAAATCGTGAAGCATAATATTTTTCTCCACAAAAATTGGTTATCAATTTAACCCACTGCCCACCGTTCCGAGTCCATTCATTTGATTTTGTATTCCACCCTAACAAAGGCCCTTCTTCCCAATAAGCTCTATGATTTTTAGAATGTTCGACCTTTTCGAAGAAGGAAAACTTCGAATAGTCAACCCATTCGAAAATACATTCGTGACGTTCGGCAGTTATTTGAGTTTTACGAATAAACTCATCCAATTCTACACTACCACTCGTCCAATTTTGGAAATTGGATTTAAAGTGTTTTGCGTTGCATGGTGTACACCAATTAGTCGTCGCGTTGATTCTTTGACCACATTCATTGCAAAGAACGGTGTCATTTTGGTTAGACATTGTCGGTCAACTCACTATTCTTTTTTGGTCCCCAAAGCTTTCTATTTAAACTACAATAAGTTACCATAAAATTTTATTGGCTTTCTGGAAAAACTGAAAAAAAGGTATTGTGTTGCACGTTTAATATTGTTTTTCATTATTATTTTTTTGTACCAATAAGAACTAATGAGAATTTATTTGATTATCCGTGATGAATCCATTTAGACTATTATTTATTGACACAAAAGCCTATTGAAAATTGTTCTTATCGAGTTTTGGACGGTAAACTTTTATCCGGAATGACGTGTCATATCTACAAGCTTTTTACTTTGTATAACTTCACGACGTTCTTTTTAAGGTTCTTTTGATATTAAACAAAGCAAGGTATTGTTTCTAGTATTGATGATTTACTCTTATGAATCTCGAAATAATAAAGTAATAAGAAACATATATAAAGAGTTTTTTTTCGTCATAAGATGTTGAACAAACGTATCGTTGTGCTTGGCGCAGGTAGGAAGAACATCTGAAATGCAACAATCTCTGGTGAAATTTTTCGCAAGCTATTAACAAAAATTCATACAAAACTTATGCAGGTGTCTCAGGATTAACCACGGCTACTTTGCTCTTACAACAAGAAAAAGCGATTAAAGTTCATATAGTTGCAAAGCATTTTCCAGGAGATTTATCTGGCGAATACACGAGTCCTTGGTATATATAAACTTTCTTAAGCATTATTACCATACCATATTGAAGTTTTTTAAACGTTGATGATATGTTTATAATTATAGGGCTGGTGCACATTGGAGGAGCCATGCTGCGAAAGATAAAATCAGAGAGCAAGGTATGTATGAGAAGTCCTTTAATAAGTTTTACCCGTAATACATTACTTTGGATTTGATAGGATACTGAAACATTGCACCAACTTTTTTTATAATCTAAAAAGAATTTGATAGAGAAACCTATAACTATTTTTGGAAAATTGCTAATACACCATATTCTGGAGTCATGATTATTGATGAGTTTGAATATTGGGAAAAACTTCCACAAGATTTCTCCGATCCGTGGTTCAAAACATTATGTCATGAGGTAAAAATTTACAAGTACGAATTAGAATATAGTAAGGTCTATTATAAAGATTCTTTTAATTATGAAAATAGTATCGACATTTAAGAAAAGAGGAGCTGCCAGTTGGTGTCGAATTTGGATTCACATACAAATCAAGTAATTTATAACATTAAGATCTTTATTTATAAAGTCAATTATAACAAACCACCACGATGTCAATTAATTTAGTGATCATTTCTACAAGTTTCTATTGATCCATCAACCTACCTTAACTATCTTCTCAATAATTTCACCTCTTTGGGTGGTACCACACAACGTGCCAACTTATCTCACTTAAATGAATGTATCGATAGTGATACCGATATTGTGGTCAATTGTTCGGGCATTCATGCCAGAACATTAGGTGGTGTCGAAGATTCTGACGTTTTTGCAGCGAGGGGCCAAACTGTGATCGTACAATTACCTCAATCATATATGAATTGGGCTTTTTTTAAGCGAGGTAATGATAGTTGTTGAACTTATTCATTATGTTTTTTGATTTCTTTGAGATAAAGTTTTAACGAATTGCGCTTATTTTCGAATGCATAATTGCAAAAGAGGCTAATGGAGAAAGTACATACGCAATACCGCGCGATAATGGAGAAGTAACTCTTGGTGGGACTTATGTGAGCATCGTCTATCCTTTATATTTTACAGATTGCATAATTGAATTTAAATTTTTCGATTTCTTAATTGTATTCACTTCAATTATAGGAAGAAGATAATTAGTAAGATAATCAATATGAGTACTTAACTTTTTCCTTATTGGCAAGAATCTAATTACAGTACATTATTTATATAATTGAATCCAAATATAAGTTCGACAGATGTTGATTATGACGCCGCTGCAGCAATTATTCATCGATGTCTCGCCACTCGTCCGGATCTCTTGCCAAAGGATCAACCTCACCCAATCATCAAGATGCACGGAGTTGGTCTTCGACCTTGTCGTAAAGGTGGCGTAAGGGTTGAGACCGAATGGACGAGTATGTACTTTTTTTTTAAAAAAAAAAATGAAACCTTAATTGAACATGTTGCGCCTGCATTTTTCTCATTTGGTTATATTATTTTATTATTTAGCTTCTGAAAAATTCGGCAAAAAAATACTCATTTGTCATAATTACGGTCATGGGGGGTCTGGTAAATAGATTCATCCGTACTTTTATTACTTATTACTTCAACATTATTTTAATCAACTTTTATTTGAAATTACAATATTTTTGAAGGATATGAATCGAGTTATGGTACTGCTCAAAGTGCGTTAAAAATCATGAAAGAAATTCTACAGAGTTAAATCTAGATTATATACATATTATTGAATACATAATCTTGATAACTCGCCTGATATCAACAACCAAACTTATTTAACAATCATTTCAAAATTTTTTTCTATTGAAAATATAAGTTTGGAAATAAAATTTCTAGATTAAAAAAAAATAGATTTATTTTTATTTCATTATTCAAATTATTGTAATACTGTTTCTTTAAATAATTTAAAATAAAGATTCAATTTACTTCTTGATCATTTTTTTTTTATTTAATTACTAACCGTTAACCCGTTGAAAAGCAACGGGATATTATAATTCTAACCAGAATTAATAATCCAAACGAATTTCCTTTTTAGGAAATTATGACTTTCTCAAGTTAACTAAAGAGGACTTTCGTAGTATTGGTTTTGCATTACGTCCAACGACGAGACTTACAGAATTCATTGAAAGTCTCGGCCAGAAATTACGAAACTATTCCTCACTTAAAACTCTTGACGACTTGAAAGAGATGTTAAATAAAAATAAGGTCAATGGGGAAGATATAACGAGTATCACACAATTTAAACCTGGTGAGTGATTACTCTCTTCGATCTGGAATGGACTATTAAGATTAATAACTTATTTTTTCCCCTTCACAGTCTTCGAGGAAATTAATTAAGATGATAAGGTTTTTAGTCATTGCATGGACGATATAATTTTAAAATTATCTAATGTGGAAACCGTGACTGATGCCAACGAGGCGACGCGCTGTGAATTTATTTCAGCATCTATCGCTATAGCTAAAAATCTTACTTCTCAGGAAATATTCATAGTATTAAAAAAGATATTTCTGGTGAAGATGCGATGGGTCGAGTGGACCACAATCAAAAATCTGGAAGATTTCTCTGTATCACCGAAGGAAAACCGCGTAATATTAAAATTGGATATGCACAAGTAAGTTTGCTCATCCTCCTAGCATATTGTTTTTTAATGAGCTAGCCAAAGGCACTTAGGCAAAGGATAATATATTTTATCTCTTAGAATCTGGCGCAACTTGAAAGTGCGTTCCAAACAAATAAGAAAAAACGAACCGCGGATCAAGCCTTCAATGATGATTACTTTGATCACCTTTATGGCATCGTACGGAGTGGCACTTTATTATATATACTCCGGACGGTATTTGCTGTACAAGTGACAGTGAATACCAGATTAACCTTACGAAATCCGCTGTCAAAGAAAATCCTGAGTTACTCCAAAGTAACGTGAAAAGGTGAAAAGGGTAATTGGCATCATTGTAGGGTTGTTAAAGGATCGTGTCAGTGTAGAGTTCCCCAGCTAGCAAGAGGGAGAGAATCAAAAAGTTATCAAAAAAAATATGTATCGGATTAGCTTTGCTAGCCAACTTTTTTGCATGTATCAATAAAAAAATTTTCTTTCGGCGAAAGTGATCGGCGGGCCAAATCGTCACGCTTGATTTTTTTTATTATTTATATTTCTAACTCGAACTTTTGAATTATTCTATCTCGTATAAAAAATGCGTAGTATGATATCGGGAAAATTCTTACCGGGCTTATTCTTTTTTCTATATATCATGCACAGTACAATGCTCTGGCATATGCGCAGTAACTACGCATTACTGTGAGTGTCATATGATATTGCTCCCTCAAGGCTTAGTGTCACGCAAAATATTTGTATTACCTTTTCATTATTCACTTTTCATAAATAGCACAAAAAAAAATAAAAATAAACCAGATCATTTATCAGAATTTATATAAATATGCTCGATGTTACTAGTCAACCTTTTGGGCTAATTTTATTTTCCAAAAGTAAGTTACAACTAGCAACTTGTAAACAAGAAGAAATGTGTTTACAAATTGTAAGTATAAACTTAGCTAAAATCAAAGAAACAAGAATAATTTATTATAAAATAATAAAGAACTAAGAACTTATATGGGCAATTACTAACTATGTTAAACTAACTAATAAATTTAAGTGAGCAATTTAAGCAATTAGGACTACAAATTAAAAATATTTATCAGGAAATTACAAGATATTATCAGGAGTTTATTATTAAATAATTTATATCTGAAAAATATAAATTAATAGAAAAATAATAGAGTTTAAGTAAAAAGATATATGTTTATTGTAAAATAAATCAATAATCCTATCACTTAGAATTGTCAAAAATATTAATTCAATATTTAAATTAAAATACAAATTTAATATAATGAAATTTTTATCTAAATTACAATTTTAAATCTATCAAAATTTACTTTTGGGTGGAAGGAAAACTCACCCTTTTTATAATATTGAACTTGGCTAAAGACTTGGTCAGTGTAATGAACTTGGTTATGTTTGCTGTAGGTTGGATTAATAAGTCATTTTCATCAAGAAATAACAAGAAAATAAATGAAATACTGGTTTAAACAAAGAACAATTCCCTGATTTTCTTTATTAAGATTTTATGTAATTTATAATCAAAATTACAAATAATAAAATAGGAAATAAATAATAATCTGAGATTCAGAAATTCAAATTAATACAAAATATAAAAATAAGATAAAATAATTTGATAATAATATAATAATATAATAATAATAAATAATAAAATAATAAAATAATAGAATAAAATAATAATTATAATACTGATTAAATAAATAAAAATAAATAAAAATAAAAAATGTTACATTCTTCCCTCCTTAAAATTCAATGTCCACATTGATTTTCAAATTTATTTAATAATTTTAAATTTTCTTTGAGTTTTCAAGTTGTATCATGTAATAGGTAACCTTTTATTTAATTAAATAAAATAGTTTTTATCAAATCATCTTTTTATCTAAAATATTTTCAACTTCATATTCCTCTTCCTGATTTTCAGAAATTACTTCTGGTTGTGATGGGATTTTGTGGTTAAATTCGTTAGGATTATTTTTATATGGTTTTAACATTGACACATGGAATACAGGATGTGTTTTTAAGGTAGAAGGTAATTTTAACTTGTATGTGATATTACAGAATGAAATTATCATAATCAAAAAACATAGTATGCAATACTAAAAACACCTGCAAATAATTAATAATAACTTTTAGAAATAGTAATGTTTAAAAATTTAATTAGTAAATATTAACTCAATTAACAAATAGCAATATTTAAATAACTTTTCAATGAATATTTATATTTAGTAACACACATTAATTAGTCACGGAATAGTAGTACAATATCACGTGTTCACGTGATATTTAGTTACACAAACATAATTATCAATTCATAATATTAATTATTATCATATATCATTATTTAACAATAATTAGTAACATTTATTATCAATTAGTATTAAGTATATTTAGTAAATAGTATAAAGAAATAATAACCAATAGAAGGAGTGCACAGTAAGGTACAGTAATACACAGTAAAGCACAGTAGTGGCACAGTAATGAAGATCATTAGATTTAAATATTGTTATTTGTATAAACCTTCTACAATTTACAAAGACAATGGAATAAATAATACTAAAACTAATAATTAAAACTATATAATAACTATAAGAATTACTAATCTCAAAATAAAATAATCACAAAACAAGGGTTTATATGTAGAAGGAATTAAGTACGATCAATTATGAAAGAGGCATATTTAACTATTAAGTAATAATTTCTAATTTGTACTATAGACTATTAAATTGATCTGCTGTAATACTATATATAATGATAAAATATATAATAATTAATAATAAAATAATATAGATATGAAGAAATAAGATAATAAAATATATAAATATATAAATAAATAATTAATAAATAAAACAGAGGTAACAGTATGTATAAAAAGAAAACTAAATTACCTTGTTCCTCTTTAGTTTATAATTTTATAACTTTGAATTTTGATAATTTATAACTTGTTTAAAATTGATAAATTTAATTTTATTTTTTTTTTTTTTTTAAGTTTCAGCGAGGCCTTGTCCCAAATTTATTTATTAAGAAAATAGTAAGTTTTTCATTATTACATAATGTAAACATCTAACTTATCCTAATATTAT